TCCCAGGACTGAAATGACAATAATTTATTTACTTGTTTAAACATAAGAGATGGGACATGGGATGATGACAGCAGAAAAGTTACTAAAATTGTTTACACTTGTGATGACGGTTACATGTCACTTCTTTATACATTTCTTTTTTCTTTCCTACATTTCTTCTTTTTTCTTCTCTTTTTTATTGCACTTTTTATTCTTTCTACTCTTATTTTAAATTTGTATTAGTTTTTGCTACTATAATCATAATCTTTAATAAAATTATTTTTAAAGATATAACCAATTCTTACAATATTTTACTACTAATTTTTTTAAATCTGCCTTTTCATACAGGAATTCAGGGTAACATACATAAAGTTCCCTATTTTTTTTCCTCCCACAAAAAGAATCTTACAAATTAGGTTGGACTGAGATAGAATCACTGGTCCAGAATGGAATCTGCATGAATAATGTTCTTAAACCTAAACTCCCATTTGTTAGGGGGAAAGAGACAGTACATATCTCTGACAGGCAACAGAAAGCTGAAATATAGGGCTGAGCATGACCTGAGCAACACTTTTCCTTCAAAAGCAATCTTTTCTTTCATTATATCCATGTTGTCCAGGAATGTGTATGTTGTCTCACCCCCTTTCCTGCCAGTGATGTTTCATAACCACCTCCTCCTCCTAATGCCAGTTTTACCTTGTTGATAATAGAGGATGAAAAGCTTGGGCTTTTCAAGCATTTGTTCAAGCATTCCATGGTTCTTGAGTGTACATTTGTTGTCTTGATTGGCAACAGACATTGGTTTGGAAGGAGACCCTTATCTTTCTCAGCAAAGCTTACACTTGAAAGTATAATTTGAGGTCTGTCAATACTCTCAGACAGTATCCACATAGTTTTAGCAGTTCAGGTTGCACATGAGATAGGATTAATATTTGCAACTTGATGCTGCTGCTATTATCATCTGCTTAAGACTAACCCATGGTTCTGATCCTTAGTGGAAGACAATGCCAGGACAATACTCAATCAAAAGCAGCACTTGGGACAAGGAAGTACCAATAAACTAGATGAAATAGAATATACAGTACAATGTATTAAAACATGAATGTATTCTGCAGGGGGGAAAAGCATTTGTAGTTGTTTTGTAGTTGTTTTTTTTTTAAAAAATCCCACAGATTTAAGCCACCGTGTGTGTGGGGGGGGGTCTGTTTTCTGAATGTCTAATGTGGAATTTATCCCTAAGTACTTCATTTATTGCTGATAAAGGATCTGCCAAAAGAGTAAAAAGGAAGGTCAGCAGCAGCAGCAGCATTACAATGGAAAATGATATTACTGCCATGAACATAGCTGAAACACAGCCAATAAATAAACATGAACCAAAGAGTCTCACAAAGGCACAATGAGGTTTATGGGCACCGTAGTTTGACATTTCTAGAGGAGTGCCAGGTTCTGAAAATCTAAAACCATCACAGATAGTTGGGCAGGGACCAGCTGCTCATTCATCCAGTGCTTTCTGACTG